GACAGCACGCGAGCTGTTATGTAAAGAAACCACCAAATGAAACCGATGAGCTTTCCCAAGAAATCATCTTCAACCAAACCTTGGATTTTCCATTTTCTCGTGGGTAATGGTATAGGTTGAAAATTTTTAACGGATGTGTTACCACCCTTGACGTGTTCGGGAGTCGACATGTCGTCTATTAATGGCTCTCGCGATAAATGTTCTTCGATTGGTTTTTCTATTGTCGGCGATTGTTCGGCAGACGGGCTCGCAGTAACAATTTTACTTTCTATTAAATTCGATTGGTCCATGAGGGATTGGTCTTCCGGTTTGTCATCAGAATCGTTATTGTATTTTTCGGATATTTCATCGTCGTTTGGAATGTCCAACGGATAAGGTAGAGGTGGAGGTGGTACGTCCGGCAATGATTTAGCGGGTGATAACGAATTTGGTTGCTCCGAATCGAACGGTTGTTCCTCCAGTGATTGCCGTTCTTTGAGTGGTGATTTAGCTTCGAAACCATAAATGCTCGTCCTTATGTTGAGTGGTTCACCGTCTAAATTGTCGTCGTAATCTTTTTGTAAATCTTCGGGTAATTCATCTCCGCTTGCTTTTATGAGTCTCGCACGGATTTGTGGTGGTAGGGGTGGCAATGAAAGAATTGCCGATTGTGGAACTCCTTTTGGCAATTGCGGTTGTTTTGGAGATTCCGGTTTTATTTTTTCTTCCGTTTCTTCCACCGTCGGCGAATTATCAGCAATCGTATCGGCGGTTATTTGACTTTCGATGGTCGTCATTAAAGAAATTTTGGATTTTAATCCGGATTTTTCCGATTCTTCATTTTTTAATGACCACGGAGTTTTTCTTCCGGCCAATCGTTGACTTTCAAATCTCATGTATAAGCAAGCTGCTATCGCCACGGATGCTATCGACGTCATGATTCCTAAAAATTGTATAACACCTAAAAAAAAAAATACGAAAATTGTGAAAAACAATTCGAAATGGAGGAAAATGTACATGTAATAAATTCGAACGTGTCACGAACCTGTTCTTTCGTGTGGAATTTTATGAGAAGCCAAAATATAAGTTTGAAATAAAGCTTGAGGAGCAGCTTGAAAAAAAGCTTGGAGCAAAAGATATAATTCTGCCGGTGAGGGTTTTGAAGCTTCTGTCAAAGCTTCTTCTTTTTCAACGTCAGTCGAAAGTAATGCTTCCGTACTCCAAAACAATTTTCCAGCAAATCTAAAAAGAGTAAAAAAAAATTTATTCATGGAGGAAAACCAAATAAGGTTTTTGTTGTTGTAGAGGCGTCCAAAAGGAGGAGCGCGTCACCAACAAACAAACACATCCTCTTTTTGCATTACTCACCTTCTCATGGCGTGTATGGGAAAAAAAACGAGGAGCAAAACTTGTTTGAATATCCAATAAACTTTTTTCGTTGTGTTTTTATTCGGTTCCGGCCATTTGTTCGGATTGATGAGCGTCAATATAAAATAGACAAACGGTGGTGTATATATGAGCGTTATTGTGAGCACACCGGAAAACCATCTTTCTTCGGCAAAATGTCTTTCGACCAATGCAATATCCGTTGCAATATCGGATATGTAAACGAGACAACAAAACGCGGTGGGTAAAAGATAAAGCAACCAAATTTTTTGATTGTTTGTCAACATCGGACTGTAACGATCGATGCTTATTCTCTTACCATTTTTATTATCCATTTTACCTTCCATTTTATATTTTTATATATAAATTTATTTTTTATTTCATTAAGATCCTAACAAACATTGATTGAACTTCCGGTTATTAAAATTTATTATTTAAAAAAAAAAAAAAATTCGTTTAACTTTTTTTTTTACTTTTGCTCATGGTACGCGCGCGTTGGTTGCTTTCCTTTTTTATTTTTTATTTTTTATTTTTTCTTATTCGAAATTGTCGTGATTTGTCCTCCTCCTCCTCCTCCTTCTCCTAAAACAAACAAACAAAAAAAAAACAAATAAAGAAAAATTAAAAAAAAAAAAAATTACGTCACCGGAACTGAATAATTTCGATGACGTATATAAAAAGCTCAAATAAAAATTACTGACAATTATTATTATTATTATTATTATTATTATTATTATTATTATTATTATTATTATTATCGAAGCGAAAGAGGTTTTTTTTTTGTAAAAGAAATAAAAATAAACCACGTCTAGACCCTCGAAATGAATAAATTCACTATTATTATTATTATTTTTTTTTTTTTTACATAACCACAATCATCATCATCATCGCGATCATGATCACGTGGTGCGTAACGACTCGGAATGAAATGATTTGATTAAATGAATCTTGAATCTTTTTCCGACGAGTTGTTGTTGTTGTTGTTGTTGTTTTCACTCGAAATCTAATAATTAGATACGCGAATCAAAAATAAAATTTTTTTTTTTTCAGTCATTTTTTCAACACGCAAACAATCGCGAGCGGCACGCACTTGCACATGCACACGCACATGCACACACGCACGCACTTCCTTTTAATTTTTTTTTTTTTTTAAAGGCGAAACCGAAACTTTTTCGACGCGAATTTTATTATACCTGGAACTAAAACTACGACTACGATAATACTACGACGATTAACCGTTATTGTTTGTTTGTTTGTTTGTTTTTGTCCAGTAAGTCGTCAACGTTATCATACGGAATTTAAATGATAATTTAAATGTTTTAAAAAATAGTCCAACCGGTTTTTTTTTTTTTTTTTTTTTTTTTTTTTTTAAAGAAGGGGGCGGTGAGAGAAGGGTGATAATTTTTTTTTTCTTTTTTTTTCCTTCCCCTCCCCCCGATAATTTCCTTCGACGTGATTTTTTGAAAATGACGAAAACGTTTGTTGGAGACAACCGAAGAAGGCAGACGGGGTAAAACAGACACGCGATCGTCGTCGTTCGTACGAATCCTTTTCCGGAATTCATAATAATAATTATTATAAAAAAAAGGACGAAAAAAAAAGTTATTTGATTTAATTATCGTTTTCGACTGACACTCATTATCATTCATACGTGAAATGATACGTTTCCGGTTTTGATCGTGGCGCAAAATTTTAAAAAATACCGTTATAGGATTAAGAGGTTAAAAAAATAATAAAAAAAATTTGGCGTGTGTTTTGTTTTATTTAAATAAAAGAAATAAAAAAAAATTTTTTTTTTAAATACGTCAAATGATTGATTGATTGATTGATTAGGTGATCAATTAACGAAAAGAAAAAGCGTAACTAAAAAAAATGGGGAGGTAAAAGTGAAAAAGTTGAAATTTTTTTTTTAAAAAAAAAAAGGAAATCGTTTCGCATCGGTGAACAATTCTTTTCGTCCTTTTTTTTTTTATTTTGTCGAACGAATTTGAACGAACTGTTTAATAAAAAAATTATCGTGGCAGGAGAATGTAAAAATAAAAAAATAATAAAAAGGATTCGATGAGGAATCGAACTAAACGTTCTCCCGTTTTAGAAAAAAAAGGGATCGTTGAAAAAATTTTTTTTAATTTTCTCTTTTTGGTCAGCCGTTCGTTTATTTCACAAATTAATCCCGCCGAACGGATTCGATAATTATTATTATTAAATGATTTTATTATAAAAAAAAAAAACAAAATTGAAAATAGTCAGTCAATCATTCGGTGATTGATCAATTTAAACAAAAAAAAAATTAATTAATTCGTCTTTTTTAAAATTAAATTGCAATTTTTTTTTTTTTTTTTAAATTTTTCAAAACTTTTATGCATTTGAATATTAAAATTATTATTATTTTTATTATTATTATTATTATTATTTATTTTAATAAAATAGTTTAAATTCGTAATAATAATGATAATGATAATGATATGATTTCAGGCCTCTTCTCCGGAAGAATTAGGGCAACGTACCGAAGTTGGCCTCGTACGTGGTCAAGCCTATCACGTGACGGCCGTTAAAAAAATACATTTGGGAGATTTAAAAATTCGTAATTTGTTTAAGTATGTTTACATTTCGTTTATTTATTTATTATTATTATTATCGTTTTTTTTCGACTGCAAAAAATTTTTTTTTATCCGGAAAAACGTTCGTTGTCGAATTTTTTTAAAATTTGGATAAGAGGGGGTTTCTTAAAAGACATTTTTGATATTTTACAACGTTCGTGTACCTGTTCGACCTTGTTATCATTTCCGTTTTCCTCTCGAAAACGAATGGGAAGGAGGAAAATGGCGTGAAATCAGACAAACAAAAGTTTTTTTTAAATTTACGGTTCGATGAATTCCACAAAAAAAAGTCAAAGCAATCGAAAACGCGCAACAATAAATAAATACTAATGATAATAATAAAGGCAAATAAAAAATTTTTTTTTGCAGAGGAAGAGAAAAAATATCTGTGATAAGATTAAGAGATACTGGAATAATGAAATCTGGAGAAAATAGTCCTACTAAAAGCATAACGTCGAATGCAGAAGACGACGTTTACGCGTATTCGACATCGAAATTGACCAAACTCATGTCGAAGAATCCAAATTGGGCAAAAATGAAAGAATCCTACAGGGAAAAATTGGGTCTTTACACGGATTACGGTGGCGAATTCTGGTGTGAAAATTATTAATCACAACGTGAACGATTCTCCCTTCCCCCGATCAAAAATTTTTTTTTATTTTCCTCGTTAAATAAATAATTTTCCAATTTCCAGGATGCCTTTCGAAGATTTCATATCGAATTTAGAAGAAATATCGATTATTAGATTATTCAATAATAATTTATTTGCGAGAGGACGTGAGTGGCGAGAATCCTGGGTCAAAGGTTCCTGGACGATAGGTCACAAGGGAAGTTTATCCGATCGATCCGGAGGTGGAAACGTGGATTCCGAAACTTTTCTAAGGAATCCGCAATATTTGTTCGAAATCGAGAGCGAAGAGGATGAAGTGACGGTTCAGGTTTTACAATGGGACGGAGTCGAACCCTCGACTCCGATAAACGAAACGGAAGTCGTGAGACCGCGTCACAGGACTCTACTCATCGGTTTCTCTATATTGAGAGTCGAAACGAACCGGAAGTACAGACTTCATAAAATATTACCATTTTGTCAACCACTCGTGTCTATGGATCACCAAAGAAAAAGAGAATTATATTACAGGGGATTTTTTCCAGCTGGAAAATATTTATTAGTTCCTACAACATACAAACCTGGAGCCGAGGGAAATTTTTTAATACGAATGTTTTCTCAGGGAAATTTAAAACTCCGGTAAGGTGCCTGTTTGTTTGTTTGTTTGTTTCTGAACGTTTATCCGTTCCTTTTTCGTTCGACCTACTTTTTGTTTTTTTTGCTTTGACGCCGGTGAAACAAAATTCAATTAAAAATTTTTGGAAATGTTTCGTAGATTATTGTCATAGAAAGTTTGTCCATCCGGTCTCTGGAGAATTTTTATTTTTTGTAAAACTCTTAAGTGACTTTAAAACGTTCGATTTTAACGCGTTCGTTTTTACCTTTAGTCAATAAGGCGATAGATGAAATATTTAATTCATATGAACTTTTTTATTTTGTTTACGATCGTTATCTGTTATCATACACGTGCGTGAATCGTTATCAGTGATGATGATGATGATAAAATAAAAATAAAAATCAATAAACCGGTTTTAAAAAAAAAATTTTTTTTTGGGGAGATTCTGATTGGAAAAATTGTTTTTTATTTTCATCATTTATTTTCTCTCTCTCTTGCTCTATGATATCATCTCTGTCTCTCTCTAGCTCAAGGGCTCGTGCGAAATCAATTTTATTTTCGTTTTTTTTTTTTTTTTTTTATTTACGATTGAAGTCTGTTAACACTTAAACTTCTGTCAGATTTTTTTTTTTTTTTTTTAAATTGAACCGTTCGGTTTCCATCAATTGATTTTAATTACGGTTATAAATTTTTTTTTGTTTGCGTTCGTTCGTTCGATCGATCGATCGATCTATCGAAACAAATAAAAATAAAAAATTTTTTTTCTATTACAGGGAAGTTAATCGCGATACGCCAAAGACGAGACAAAATTTTTTCTGCATATCTAGTCCGGTACTATGGATAACTGTGATAACATTAAAAGGAGCCGCGGGTTTGGGATCATCCGGTAAAAACGTTTTTTGCACTATAAAATGCGAAAGGGATAAAGTCAAAAGTCAAATGTCGAAAAGTCACAAAGAAATCGAATGGAACGACATTTTTATTTTTTACAGGAAGAATCCGAATCGTCCGATAATAATTAAGGTAAGGTAACGTGGCACACGATTAATAACGAACGCGTGGTTACAGACGAAACGAAACGTGACGTGACGTGTGACGTGTGACGTGACGTGGAAATTAGAAAATGAAAAATCATAACGTAATAAAAATCCGATTCCAAAATGATAAATAATTGTTTGATTGATTGATTGAAGAGACAATAAATTTATTGTTGCGAATACTATTAAACGAAATCAATAAATCAATAAAAAGGAGGACGACAGCAAAATAATTATTATTATTATCATGCTGTCGTGTTTGTGACGGGGGGCGATGGGTCTTATATTGTAAAAAACGACGAAATGATCATCATTATCGTTGTTATATATATGTATGTATATATTATTCGTAGGTGTACAGTCACAGAATGTTAGGAAGGAATAAATTTTTAGGATGGACCGAACTTCCAGCATCTGTGAATCATTTGACGTCACCGCTGGAAGCGACGCTCCTGAGAAAAGACAATAATCCAATTGAAAACGCAATTATCAAATTAGACGTTCTTACGGAAGACAATCTTATGGCGGTTTAATAACCTTTTTCCGCCGCGATTAAATTTTTTTTATTTTTTAAATTGCGTGACCGCTGCGTTGTTGTTGTCCGTTGTGTCACCGCCGCCGCATCCGCGTACGTCACCGCATACGTCACCGCGTATTTTACACGCACACACACACACGCGTCCTCGAAACTGTCTCACCCGCCGAATTATTTTTATTTATTTATTTCCCTCTCACCCTACCTTTCCCCATCCTTCGTCGCTCGCATATATTCCGCGTTTTTTTTTTTTTTTGTCGATTTCGAGAAAATTCCAGACGTTTTTTTTTTTTTTCGTTTTCTGGAAAATTCAAAGGACGTTCGCCTTGTTATCAATACTCACGCACGCGTAATAATTATTTATTACTAGTTACGAATTAATTGTTTGTTTTTATTTTCTATACGAAAATATACGAAAGTGCCTCAAAATAATAATAATAATAATAATGATACTAATAATAATAATAATTAAATAGAAATTTATGCGTATAGGAAATAATTAATAATTTTTTTGACGTCATCAAATTTCGGAGCTTTCGATTAATTTTAAAAGCACGAAAAAAAGAAAATTTTTTTTTTTTATAGTTTTAACAAAAAAAATTTAATTATTATTATCGTTATTATCATTATTATTATTATTAATGCACATAATACGTTGCCTTTTTAAAATTTTAATAAAATTTATTATCGATAATAATAATAATAATTATTATTAATATTTTAAAATTAATTTCCTGAAGTTTTTGACTTGACGTGATCGAATTAAAAAAATTTTTTTTTTTTTTTTTTATTCGTGACATTTATATAATAAGTTCAAATTTTTTTACTTTTTCCCCTTTACCTTCATTCCCTTTCCCCTCCCAACCCTACACTATTTTACGCACGTACCCCTCCCTTCTTCCACTCTCCCCGTCCCCCTGCAAAAAACGCACACGATTTCAACCTTCACCTTTTTACATTTTTACATTTTTTGCTCCCTCCTTTGAATTTTTTTCCCTTCGTTCTGGTTTTTTTTACGGAAAAAAAATTTTGAAATTCCAGTAAATAATAATAATAATAATAATAATAATAATAATAATAATGATTTTTTTTTATGGATAATATTAACACGTTAATGCAAATTTTTGTAAGATCGTCGACCTAAATTTTCCAGAAAACCCTCTCGAAAGTTTTATACTGTTAAGTTGAATTTACTTTTACCTCAACATCAACGATTTAAAATCTTAATCAAACCGTAAAAAAAAAAAAATAATAATAATAATAACGTTATAATAATAATAATAATAATAAAATTAATTTCGACTTACATAAGTTTTATAATAACTTTTATTATTATTATTAATTAATTAATTATAATATTAGAAATAATTATTTTTATTTATTTAACCGGAAACTAATTTTTTTTTTAATTTTAACCGAAACGTTAAAAAACTGGGTTAACGCCCGAATATTTTATTATTATTATTATTAAATTTTGTTAATGATGATGATAATTAATAATAATAATAATAATAATAATAATAATAATAATAATAATAATAATAATAATAATAATAATAATAATAATAAATCAATAATAAAAAAAAAATTAGAAAAAAAAGAAAAAAATTAAAAATTATTTCGTAACCCGGATGAATCATTAAAAAAAAAATTTAAGCCGTTATTATTATTATTATTATTATTAAAGTTTTCAAAAAAAAAAGCAAAACGTTAACTTTGACCCGTGAAAAAAAGTGAGAGAGAGAGAGAGAGATAGAGAAAGAGAGAGAGAGAGAAATAAGACGACGTCAATAATTCGATAAAATGAATGAGAGAAAACAAAAATTTAAAGTACAAAATCGGTTTAAATTTTTTTTATTTTTAGAAAGAACGAATCCCCGCACCCTCCCCCCACACCTCCTGACATAAGGTAAACATAGGAAGAAAAAAAACATAATAATAATTATAAACATTAAAAACATGTTTTCGATTATTGTAAAGGAAAACATGACGGCTCACCCAAAATAAAAAATCTATGAGGCACTGAAAAATTTCACGCACTCACGAACACATGCAAATTAATAATAATAATAATAATAATAATGATAATATTTACCCTTTAAAATATCGTTCCTATCATCATCATCATCATCATCATCGACATCGTCATCATCATCATCATAATAATAATAATAATCGTAATCCCCGCATCGATAAACGCATCATCCTCGTTAACAAAAAATAAATAAATAAAACGATAACGATTATAATAATAATTTATTTATTTATTTATTTTTTTTACGTAATAAAAACGACGTCACTTTTTGCTAATAATAATAATAATAATATTTACATAAATTTACTTTAATAAACAACAATAATAATAATAACAAAACGAAATTAATAAAACGAGAAAAATTTTCAAGAAATTTTCTAAAAAAAAAAAATTGCGGCGCACCCCCGGATAATTCACACACACACACCCTTAAAAAAAACCGGATAAATAACAATAATAATACTAATAATAATAATAATAATGATAATAATAATATTTATATTTTTTTTTTTTACACGATCGAAACTTAAAAAAAAAAATTCAAAAATTTAAAAAAAAACAACGAAAAATTTTTAACAATTTAAATTTAATTAATTAATTTATTTATTTAATGATGATTTAATAATAATAATAATAATAATATTAATTATTATTATTATTATTTTATTTAAAAAAATTTAAAATTTAAAAACATTTTTAACATAAATATATATTTTGTTTTCGTAGAAAATAAACACACACCCATTAACTTTCCGCCATTTTGTTTATATTCAATTACGGTTTTTTTTTTTTTTCCCCGACGTTCCTGCAAAATTTTCCCGTTTTTTTTTTCGTCGAATTTGATTTTATTCGAATCGTGTGTGACTCCCTGTTTTTTTTTTTTTTTTTTTTTTTTTATTGTTAAAATTTTTCCTTCGACCGTTTTCGACTGCGACTGTTCGATACGAATATTTAATCGTTATCGTATTGAACATGCTCGTTTCGATTTTTCCCCCCAATAAATAAGAAAAAAACTGTTTTGCTTTAACTATTGTAATTTTTTTTATTAATCGTTAGATGTCGCGCATATCAATAAAAAAATTTTCCTCTCGTGCGATTTAATTAATAATACGGTATGTTTTGCGGTTATTCGAATCGTTTTTTTTTTTAAATTTTGTAATTACGTCATCACTTTTCCTCCACCATTTTTTTTTTAAATTCGTTTGTTTGTTTGACATTTGAAGAAAACCCCCGGATGGGATGTCAACCCCCCCTTTACCGTTAAATTCTCAGAATCCTCGTGGACAGACACCCTTAGGAGATGAATTTCGTTTGTTTTTCATTTCCATACTACCGATTCGCCGCCATTTTTCCATTCTTTTTTCTCCGGTTATTAATAAATAAATAAATAAAAGTTTTTAATAAATTTATCACAAAAATAAGAAGAGTACATAAATAATAAATAACGGTCGTATAAATAATTAATTTGTTTTTAATAATTTAAATTTTGATGCTCACATTTTAATAAATAATTTAATTTTTTTTAAAAAAAAATTAAATCGAACATTTTATACAAAAAAATTTTTTTTTTAATAAATAAATAATTTTTGTTAATGATAAGTTAATTAATAATTTAATAAATAAAATAATGCTGGAAAAATGAGGCGAAAGAAAAAAATTTTGTTTGTAAGAAGATGAAAATATTGTTTTGATTTTTGAAAAAAAAAATGAAAGAAAAATTATTCGAATGATTTACTTTTTTTTTTTTTTAAATTTTCTTTTAAAATTTGATAAAGTTTGATTTGAAATTCCAGATTTTCCGAGAGAAAATCTAGAGAAAAAAATCGAGGAAAATGGGAAAAGGAAAAAAGAAGAACGTTTTTAGAATAAGATGAATTGATAGAAAACATTTTCCAGCTTTTTTATTTTGTTTCGGTAAAAAAATGGCGGAGTTGGTGGTTGTTTTGAGTTGGTACCCATTCGAGTACCGACTACCATCATCATCATCATCATCCTGGAAAACAAAGATTTTATCCAAAAAACGTAACCGACATCGATTTAAAAAAAAATTTTTTTTTTTGTATACTTGATTCGACGAATCCATTTTTCCGATTATCTTATCCGTTCGTTATTAAATTAATTTTTCCACCCTTAAGTGAGTTATCATATCAGGAAAATTTTTATCAGTCGATTGATAAAAAATTATAAATTAATTAATACTAACGGGGAGGGGGGAAGTTTCGTGAAGGAGAAAATCAGTTGGAAAATCCCGTTCGAAAAAAATAGAGAAAAGAAGGAGAAGAAAAAAGTTATGATATTTAAAGGGAAGAGAGAGAGAGAGGGATTAAAGGTCAAGTATTTAATAAATTTTCAATTTTCCTTTCTCTCTCTTTCCCCAACCCTCCCCTTTTCCACACAAATTTTTCCAAACGGTTATTAATTTTCACTCGTGTGACAACATTTGTCGTAGTGAACATAAAATCATCCATTTTGTTTTTTTTTGGTTTTTCCGGAGTTAAAAATTGTAACGCGATGAATTTTCCGTTCGTTTTATTATTATTATTATTATTATTAATCAATTCGTTTTTTTTCACGTTCGTTATTTGTTATAAATCCTGTTCGGAAAAGTTATATGATAATTTAATAAAAATATTTAATGAAAAAAAAGAAATTTCAAAAGGAAAATGTCAATTATTAAATTTTTTTATTTATCAAAACGATCGATATTGGTCGGGATTACGTCACGATAATCGATATTTATTTTTTTATTACGATTCGATGGAATGTTCTAGAAGGGAAAATTTACAAAACGATCGTAATTATTTATGCGGTATTATTAATAATAATAATTACGGTGTAATCATCAACTTTTGCGGTAACGTGAAAGATTTCGATAAAAATTGTTTTGATAAATTTTTCCACTTCCGTTACGATGATGATGACGTCATAAAATTAAATTTTTCATCGTCTGGCGGCGCGGAGTTAGAAAATTTTCAAATTTTATATAAAAATAATAATAATAATAATAATAATAATAATAATAATAATAATAATAATAATAATAATAAAAGAAAATCTTTTGATAATGATTTTTATTATTCGGAGATCGGTTACCCTCGCATCCATTCATCAAATTCTTCTTTTATCAATAATAATAATAATGATTATAATAATAAATCCGAAATAGTGGAATTATATATCAAAGGATTAGGAACGTCGTCAATTTTTCGTACTTACAATTTGGAAAATTCTAGAAGAAAAAAATTTTCTAGGGCGGAACGACGGCGTTATATATCAAAAAGGGAAAAACCACGTCAAGATTTAAAAGATTTAAATTATTCTTACAACGACTCTTGTAAAACTAACGAGAAATTTTTTAAAGATTTTTGTTTTTTTTTAAAATTCCACGTTTATTCCCTTCCAGGTAAATATTTTTAAACGAATGAATGACTGAATGACTGATCGAATGAACCCGTTCTTTTATTTCCTTTTGTTTTTGTTTTACTTTATTTAAGTGATAGGTGAAAATTTTCACAATGGAAAACCGTTAAACGAATTTTTACTCGCACAAATGTTGGCTAATTCCACGAAAAGTTGTCAACTCGAACATCCGGATGCACTCGGACTCGCAGTCGAAGATGAACTTGAAAATAAATTTGTCATAAATTATTTAAAAAGTCGTGAGTGTGTAATTTTAATTTATTAATTTATTATTATTATCATTGTTACTCCAAAAAATTATTTAAATTCTTTTTCCAGTGTCGGTCGAAAGTCACACGATCGTTTTAACATCCGGTGTAAAAGAAAAAAACAAACCTGGACAATGGCAAGATTGGAACATGAAAGTCGATCAAAAAGTAATCAATTTAGTCGATAATACGGATATTAAAACTAATGACGTCATGTTATACGCCATCAATACGAGTGAGTGATGGTAAATTATTATTATTATCTATATTATATTTATTTTTTTCAAATATTGATGAATTTACAGCGAATTACAATTGGCAATTGATAAACTTATCAGAAATGATATCGACCAATAAAACAAAAGAATGGTACGTAATGTGTAAAAGACGTTACAATCCAAGAAACATAAATTCTGACCTTCTTAAAAAATGTTTGAAATATTATAACGGTAGCAAATGCTACAGTTCGACGAAAATAACGAAATATTGTTGCGCCGTCGATGAAAATGGCGAAATTTGGTTCGGTTGCCCGCAAGAAATAATAAACAAACAATACGAGGACGATACCGACTGCATATGGAGTTGCGGTTCGGACGGTCTTTTTTTACAAGAATATCCGATATGCAGAGGACAAACGGCATGCGAATATGTTTTAAATCGGATTAAATATTCGGCACCTGCCGGAAGACACGCCACGAGTTTTTGTCCGAACAAATTAAGCGGGTATTCCTATTGGTACTGTCATCATAATAAAACATTCATCGGTTCCCCGAAAACCGTATGTTGCGAAACTGATAAAATTTGCAAAGCCGCAGATTCATACTTAAACGTTTGGACATCTTGCCCATCTAGATTGGCACAAAAAAGAGTCACATGTCCGAAAGGATCAATTTTTAAAAATGCCATCGCCGAATGGTATTGTACGCCGGAATTAAAATTCAAAGGTAATCCGGATTATAATAATTGTAACAAAGGTGGAAAACCGTGTGAGAAAAAAGACAATCACGGTAGGTTGTGGAAAATTCCCGGAGGATCTCTCGGACAAAAAATTTGCCCGAAAAAATTAAAAGGTACTTGTCATTGGAGTTGTAACGTATTTGGAAAATTCGAAACTCTATTCCCCGATTGTTCGAAATGTCAAGCCGATTGGATGGATAAAGTTTCAGATAAGGTAAATATAAAAAAAAAAACCTGTTCGTACCTGATATTGTTTATGACGTCGTAAACTTATTTTATAATTTTAGATAAAAAATGGCACGCACTACAAAGTGATTATGGAAATGATGAAAAATCACACGGAGATCGAAGATTTAACTATTGGATTTTATCACGTGATTAATTTAACAACGGCTTGCGTTGATTTGTTTAAAAAACAAAACAAACAAAACAAAACATTGTTTAATGATTTTTTAATCGATTATTCAAAAATATTAAAAAATCTCGCTGGAAAACCAAAAATATGGTCGACGTTTATGGTTTGCTTGTTCATTTTTCTTTTTTTGCCCCCCCCCCCCGTTAAATAGAAAAAACTTTTGAGAATTTTCTTCTGTTTTGCAGGCTTCGAGCAGGACCGAATACGCGAATAAAATATTAAAAACAACACAAAATGCAACATTCGCATATTTAACGTTCAAATCAGGATTCGATAACGAACGTAAAAGTTTCGATAAAATTTTAGCAGATTACGACGAAGACGGTTTCGATTATTTCGTTTATTACAATACGTCATTAACGGGTAGTAAATTTCCTATAAGTGATAATGATAATGATGATAATGCGAAAAAAAATTGGAAATTAATAATTAATGAGGTCGAGGATAATAAGAACGGTACGAATTTTGCCGCCATGGGTTTGATAATGAATTATTCTCTTAGCAGCCTCATGTTTCCCATACGGTAATACCTACAACTACTACTACTTTTCATTATTATTATTATTAATAATTGTTATTTAAGATTTTGTTTGTTTGTTTGTTTGTTTGTCGCCGACAGAAATGATAATAAAAACGAATTGAAAATGAATGCACCTGCCGTTAGTTTTACAATAGCGACAACAGAAAATGGAGAAATTATTATTTTACCAAATGTTTCAATTAGTTTAACATTCAAACACACAATTAAAACGAGACATCCGAAAACGAAAATAATAAAAAGAAAATTACATAAAAACGAACAACCTTCTGGAATATTCGGTTCAACGGATTGTTATTATTTCAAGTGAGTATAATTATTTTATTTTGAAAAAAAAAAAATTCCAATCATCGTCTGCTGTTAAATTTTCAGCAAAGAATCCGATTGGATGAATCACGGATGTAAAGTTTCATCGACTTCGCAAGAACATACGGAATGTATTTGTAATCATTTATCGACGATCGGTTTGCTTATGAGTTTACATCATTACGAACCGGATACGGTACTGGAAACGGTTTCTTTAGTTAGCAGTAGCATAACGATAATCGCATTGATATTGACTCTACTCGTTTTTATACTTTTCGATTCAATAAAAAACGAAAGGATATTGATCGGTGTTAATCTTTG